GGTCACTGCATTACAATAGCTCTGGAAATAAAGATTTTTCCCTTCAGTACATACAAAATGAGATATTTAAAGCAGTGGTTTAGTCTGGGATTCAGTTGTCAACAATTTCTGTCTAGAAACTATCAGAGAACTATCCTGTGCAGTTACCTTGTAGTTAGGCTCTAAGTTAGGCTCTAAACCAGCACATAGAACAAAACTCTATTTCAGACACTAAGCACTAAACAAAAAAACAGGCTTTCATTAAGGACACGGAAGTAAGTTACTACCTCCCTCTCACCCATTCCTAATATGTTTTATCTTTATTCTTCACAATCCTGGATAGCAAAGTGGCTCAGAGCCACCAGGATCTCTGATGCCACATGGTTATTGTCCTAGTTTTTTCTTCTGGTTCCAGCTGAATGATAGTAGGAGCTGTTCTGCTTCTGAGCAAAGGGGAGGAGGAGCTGCAAATTCTTAGTTTTTCAGGCTAGAGTGAAAGAGACCTTAAAAGCTGTTTGCCTCACAACTTACAACTCTTTTTGTATTTACTGGCTTGAAAATATTAGAGTGAATAAATTCTAATGATTTGGGGGGTTGCACTATTGTAGAGCAAATAAAAATGTCAGGCTAGTAATATGCCTCCGTGTTCACAAAATCATTTTACTTCAGAATGCCATGAAAATACTTTAAAGAGGTTTCTGTCAAGCCATTGTTTGAATAATAGGCTTACCTAGTGTTCAGGATTCAGTCAGGGTTTTCCTTGATATAGGATGTAATTTTGTAAGCGATGAGGACATACACAATTAACTGAAAACTCTAATTAAATTTCTGCTGCAAACACCTTTCTCGCTATGCCACTTCATCCTACATGCTGATAGTAGAAAAACAAAATGAACAATCCTGATCTCTGAATCACTCAAATGCTGCATTTTCAGACACAGCTGGCACTTCAGAGATCAAGGTACCTGTGAATTTCAGTTTACATTTGCCAATATACAGAGTAGGATTTATCCAAGTGGCAACAAAAGCAAAGCAAGATTGTAAGAAAAAAAAAATAAATTAGATGCAGTGTGAGAATAAACTATCTACAAATAGGAGAATTATCAGAGAGGGAAAAAGAACAGAGAACAGGACTCTGGACGTCTTTATGGCTTTGTGCCATCATAGTAGCATAAGGAAAGCCAGCTATGGGAGAAGAATTCTGTAACAGCATAAAGCTACTGCAGAAATGCATGCCATTCTGTGCCCCTGCCTCAGTTCAGGATGGAGAACAAGACTGGGAAAGAGTAGGCCTGCTGCTGAGAGCTGTCTGCTGTCCACTCTCCAAACAGCCCCACGGGGCCCAAGACCCAGCAGGGAAGAAATGGGGGGAACAACACAGCCTATGACAGCTCCTGTGGAGCTGAGAAGTGGAATCAGGTAAAGAATGAATAAAGGCACCTTTGTCACCATTCCTCCAATCTTCTGCTGATAATAGTTCAGATGGATGAACTGGTTCATTAGGATTTGGTTGGAAGAGATTAATAAACGGGGTGCACCATGGACAAATGAATATTACCATCTCAATTTTTAATATAAAATATTCAAGTTTTGAGAGATATGCTATCACAAGAGAGATAGCTATGTTTTCAGCTGTATCATAGTTGAGACAATTTATCTTTACCTCACAAACCCAAACCCTTTTTATCAGTTATAACTTAGCAACAGTGTTCATTTATAATAGTGATATTAAGATATGTTGTTTTAAACGGGAATGAACAGTAATGCATACATAGAAATTCAGAAAAAATCTCAAAGTTGCATTTCCTATTTCTTACTTTGACATGTAAAAATAACATCCCTGTTTTTTAACTAAATAGAAATGGATAAAACTTGTCATAAATTAGTACAGCTCTCAGAACAGACAAATAAGTAAAAAAAAAAAATCTAAATTGATCTATTACTTCTTGAAATTAAACACTCATAAATGGAAACTTTGCTCATGTTTCTCCAACTTCATGGATTTTGATTGACATATCTGTCCTTATAACAGACACTTTCAATCAAGAGCCCTTAACAGAAGTGTCCTTAACTATAACAGTCTTAAAGTGTGACTGTCTGTGCCAGGTGGGATGAACTCTTGTGTGTTCCTGCAAGGAAGCTCCAAGCTGTGGGTGCAAAGAACTTGTATTGCCTTAGATGTGTCTGGTGTTGTAAATACTGTCAGCTTTTAGAAACCACATAAAACTAAGCACAGAGGAAAAAAAAAAAGAAAAAAAATAAAAAAATTGTGTAACCTGTGTGTCAGCACTCCTGCATGGGTGAAATCTATCACTGGAGTATTGCCACTCTGTTCAAAAGGGCCAGAATTACAACCTATATGATCCAAACTTACAAAAGTCTTCCAAAGGGTTTTGAGTAAAACATGACTTTTAACATCCAAGGGCCAAACGCGTTATTTTGAAAGGTCAAAAGGATAAAACTGGGAGCAGCTGAGAACCCTACCCTACTCCCTTTACACTGCATAGGTAGGGCTCATGTTTTTAAAATCACAGGGCACACCTCAGTGTGTATGTTCTATTCATAAGGCAGTACAAACCTTCTGCCTAGTTTAGTTGTACTTAATTTAAGCCCTACCATTTAGGGCTCTGGGCCAGAGGTTACGCACCAGAAGAAAAATCAGGGCCTGACTAGCGATGACTCAAACCCTTCACTCGGTGCTGAAACACTTCAGTGCTCCCTTGATTATTTTGGCACTGGAAATTTATGACCCAGATTCTGGGACACTGTATGGCCTCATCCTGCCCCTGTCTCAATTAGGCTATTCACTCAGCTTCTCTCTCTGTGCTTCCTTAAAATCCTAGCAGAAAAGGAGATCTGTAATGAAGCACCATGAACTGTCACCAAAGTGAAGTCCTGAGATGGGCTGAGGAATTAACATAGGGTATTCAAGCAGGAAAATGTGTGCCTCCTTTAAGGCACATTTAAGCAGTCAAAGCAACATTAAGGAAATACGGTTAGAAGACTCATTTAGAAGAGAATTTTATCACTTCCTGGATGGTTTTCAGGGGGTCTGTTTTGGAATGACTGAAAGTATGATTTAAGTTATTTTAGAAAAAGGGGATCATGATGTCAAGAGTGTGCAATGCACCTTTGAATGTGATGAGAAGCATTACTTGGAGGAGGTTTGCATTTTTTGAAGGACTTTCACACATGATATTCTGTTAATTACTTCATTATTAATCCTTCTGAGAAATTAATGCATGCTACCAGACAGAAACCCACCTAGTTGACATTAGGTGCTGTTCTCCATCAGAAGCAGGAAAATATCTTGTAAAAGCACATGGAATGGGAAGAACCAGCTGACTGTGGTATTTTCAAATTTAGGTGAAAATGTCACTGGGATTATTTAGCAAAGAAATAGGAAGGGGCAAAACCCCAAGTTATTTAAAAACAACTTCTTAACAAAGATTAATTTTATGTACAGGGAAACTGCAAAAAGCACTTCTGTTGTCTGAATGTAACATGGGAGCAGGTGGCAATAATGTTTCTAATCCTTAAATATCTCAGCACTGCTTCAAGTTCTGAATTTCTGTATGCTTGGTTGCACAGACTCCACCTACACCTGAATCACAACTCAGAAAAAGTACAGTACTTCACAGCTCAAGCAGGGAGAAACTTTTCCTCGTACATGTGGAATGGTGAGACCACATTTTATTTTTTTAATTCCCTTTAGTTGTTGAAAGGGGGAAAACATTTTGAATTGCCATTCCCCCTTTACCCTTGGCTGGTATATTTCCCTCTTAGACGAAGAAAGGTTTGAAGTGATAAAAGTTTACATAACATAGCTAAGCATATTATGTAAAGATTAAAGCAGCAGGGTCAGCACAGGGACAGAAGTGTCTCAGCCAGGCAAACGCAGCCGGGGTTACCTGACAGACAGTTCTCTTGGAGGTTTGTTTTGTTCCAGGTTAATATTATTCACACTAAACATTTAAGTGTGGCTCTGCCTTGGCCTCTCCTATTCCCGACAGCGATGCTTGCCACAGAGGCAATGCCCGCCTGCGTGGGAGGCGAGGCTCCTTTACCTGGCCACAACCAGGCGACAGTGCCTATCTCCAGCTGGGATGCTGCGCGTCCCCCGGTGCCGTCAGTGCGCGGGGGCGGTTTGCGGCACCAGGCTGTGCTAATGCCACGCAGTGATCGAAACTACCGCGGTCACACAAAAGTGTGGCCACCAAGTGCCGAGGGCCCGGGCCCTGCCCCACCGCGGGCCCCCGCGCCGCCCCTCCGCGCCGCCCCTCCCCGCCGCCCGGGCGCTGCGCTCCCGCGGGGCATCCGCGCGTCCCCTCCGGCCGCTCCCTCAGGCTCCGCCGAGACAAAGGCGGCGGGAGGTGCGGGTGGCGGGCCGGCAGGACGGGGCCGGGGGGGGGGGGGGGGGGGGGGGGGGGGGGGAGGACCGGCGGTGGGAACAAAGGAGCCGAAAAAGAAGAGAAGAGCCAAGAAAGTTGATACCGGCCTCCTCCGCCGCGCTCGTCGCGGCCCGCCCCCCCGGCCCCAGGACTTTGGCGTGAGAGCCCGCGGTAACCCGGCGGCGGCGGCGGGGAAGAAGGCCGTATACCCACTCCTCCATCCCACCCGAACCCCAGTCGAAGCTCCCGTCTCCCCCCAGCTACCCCCGTCCTCTCCCACCTCCTCCTTCCTCCTCTGCCCCACTGACCCCGCCCCGCACCCTCCAGTGCTTCCCTTTAACGCGCGCTCCCGCCGGCGCCTCTCGCCCCTCCCCCTTGCTCGGCGGCGCGCGGCCTCCAACACCACCCGCGGGCACGCGCCCGTTCCCCTCCACCCGTCGCTTCCCCCCCCCCGCTCGCCCCCGCCGGAACCGCGCGCGCGCCCCCGCCCATCCACCCCTCCCTCGGCAGGGCGCGAGCGCTCGGGATAATTGGCTGGCGGACGCGCGCGCGCGCGGCGCCGGGCGGGCGGGGGCGCGCGCGCGCGGAGGCGGGGGCGGCGGGGGCGCGCGCGCGGCAGCGGCTTCACTTCTCTCCGGGCAGCGGGGGCAGGAGCGGCGGCGGCGGTGGGAGAAGCAGCAGGAGCAGCGGCCGCCGCTGCTGCTCGGGAGAAAGGGGAAAGGGCAGGGGAAGCCGAGAGCGAGGAGCGCGGGGGAGCGGGCTCATGACTCAGTGAGCGGCTGCAGCCCCTTTCCAGCCCCGCGCCCGGCCGGAGTCGGGGCCACCGCGACGGATTGTCCCGCAGCCTGTGTCCGGCATCAGCGAGAGAGAGACCTGCGCTCGCCTGCAGGTATCAGAGGCTTTCCCCCCGTCTCTCCCGGGGTACACCTACCTCTGCCCCGGCTGAGCTCTCCGTCTGCCTCCCCTCCCCCCGCCGGGCTCCTACCCCCTCGTCGCTCCCTCACGACAGCACCCTCCCCCCCATTTATCTGCGACCCTCGCTCTCTACCTTTATCCTTCATCTCCCCTCCCCCCTCCGCATCCCCCCGGCACTGCCTGGTACCCTGTTCCCTCCTTGTCATCCCCAGCCGTGCCCTTTCTTAGCCTCCGTCCCGGCCGTCCCCCTCCGCCCCCAGCCACCTCGGCATCTCTGCCGCCGCTCCCCGCTCCCTCAGGTTCCATCCAGCCTCCATTGCTTCTCAGCACCCCCAAACCCCTTCAGCAACTCTTCCGTGTCCATTTGTCCTGCTCGCCCCGCTGCGGGCGGGAGCAGCGACCACCCCCGCTCCCCCCCGCCCCTCCGGCCCCGCTCCGCGCCGATCGCGTGGTCCCCGCGGCACTCGCTGCGCCCCTGGGTCGCTCCGGCGCCGGGGTACCCCCTGCGCCCTCCATGATCGAGCCTCCCAGGATGCGCCATCCCCACAACCCCCCGCCGCAGCACCCGGTGGGCACCCCGGACTGGAGCCCCTCGGGAAGGGCACTAGCCTCCCCCGCCCCCACGCGGAGCGCCCTGAGGAGCCCCGCAGCCCAACCCTCTCCCTTCCCTCATGTGCCCCCGACGTCTTCCTCTCGCAGTCTCCTCCTCCTCCTCTTCTCGGTTGTCTCCTACTTCTCACCCTGGCCCGGCCGCCTCCCGCCCGGCTGTGGGGGTGCGGGGTGTGTGTGTTTCTGGGGATGCCCATGCCCACCACCAGCTCCCGCGCGGCTGGGTCTTCCCGACGGGCGAGCCACGCTTCTGCCTCCGGGCGGCTGGGGGCCGTGGGAGCCGGGGCCTCTCGTCCTTTCCGTCCAGGTTCCTCTCTCAGTGGCGGACCCTGCCCGGCCACAAACCGGGCGCTTTCTGCCTCCCCTGCTGTGATGTTGTGGCCCTTTTGCCCTTTACGCTTTCTAATGAAGATGAAGTAAGGCGGCTGCTGCCGTTGCTGCTCGTCGTGGACTCTGCAGAAATATTCAATTTATCTTGGCGTAAAGAAAATTAAGACCGCTTTAAAAGGACATCCTCACTAGCTCTGCCGCCCTTGGGGACCGATCTGCACGTTGCCAGGACCTTGCTGTCCCTAACTACGGGATTTTTTTTTGGGGAGGGGGGGGGAGAGTGTGATGGTGGTTGGTGTTGGGTTTTTGTGACTCTATATATTTTTTGTTTGTTTTTGTTTGTTTTGGGTTTTTTTGTTTTGTTTTGTTTTGTTTTGAGGAAGAAGGGGAAGGTGCCAGTAGATATATTTGACAAAAGCAAAACCTTTTGGACTCTTCACTTCGAATTGATAGTTGTAGTTACACTTGTAATCTATCTCTCTGCTGATTCATCTCACGTTAAGGGAGAGACTTTTAAGTCCCTTTGCACTCCTTTCCCTGTCCCCTCTGCTCATTTTTCTCTGCACAACAGCAGGGAGGTTAGCAACCCTCGCCTGAATATAGAATAGCCTGGCAGCCGGGGACCTGGACATCGCGTGTCTTCCCTCTTGCTCTGTGTGACAGTTGCAAACACACTCATGGCTGTTCAGATTCAAGGAGTATCTTGTATTTCTGTCTGTGTTAGTGGCAGTGAAATATTTTCTTCACAGTGTCATCCCCTCAGTTGATTTTTTTCCCCCTAGTTGTTTGTTCATGTGTTTGGCTCTCTTTTAAGTTTAACCCTATTTGAAGTGTCTTAACTTCAGGCCCTTTAACACTCACTTTTACCAGAATATTAAGCATCCCTTGAACTATGCAAAAATTCCTAAAATTGCAGATATTGTGAGCAGATGGCATAGAAAGAATTGCCTGACTGTCAGAAAGGGGAACAGAGAGAGAAGGAGAAGGGAGAGATAAAAAAATAACCAAAACCCCAAGAAACTAGCCAGACATCAAATGACAGATTGAAGCATTTTGCTGTTGTAAATGCTGGCATTACATGTTACAGTAATTATATGCTCTGGGCTACTGTTAGTATTTGTCTGCTGGATAGTAACCTGAACTTATGAAGTGAATAGAGTTGTTTTTTGGATAATAGTAATATTTATAGCTAAGATTATTCACAGCAGATGTCCTATGCGTATAAGCATTACTAAATATGCTTTTAACTTTCTGGCCTGCAGTGTTAAAACCTATGTACATTGTGAAGAGAGAATTTTTCTTTTTAAAATGAGGTTTACTAAGCAAAGTTCAGAACTAAAATCTAGAGCAAATAAAGGCCATCACAAGTGTTATAAAGAGAAATGAGGTTGTATTTTAACTGTATGTAGAAGCAAAGAAAATGCGTACTTACTATCAAAATTGCGTTATAGTTATTAAATGCATATTTTGACTTGTCAGAATATGATACTTTTGTGGTTTATTACCTCTAAGTCTTCTGTTGCTTTTATCTTAAAATCTGCCAACTAGGATTTAAATATCTGAACATCAACCTGTGTAAATATACAAATTATGTTAAATATAATGTATCTGTACCATAGGAAAAATTGTTCTCTAGGAATGAACAGTTTTTGTATTTTAATTTTAGGGTGAAAACTACGCATTATTTTGGTTACTTCAATGAGCAGGCTAAGTGTTGTGTATTTATATAAATCTATATATGAAAATATTATTTTCTATGATAAAATCCAAAATGTAGTTTAAGCTGATTAAGGGAAACCTTAGTCCCATATCCATCACTTGGTATTGCTTGCTATTTCTTTTGGTGCATAAACATTTTGAAGGGATGCCATACTTCCAGAATTTTTGTTCAGTATAGCTTTACAAATTAGATAAAAAAGACCTAATTCCTCCTGAAGTTAGTTGCATGTGTCAGTAATGCTTGAAGAGATTATTTCTTCCACTCCACGGTGTGTACTATTTGATAGAATTAGATCTTGGTAAGGGTTTTTCAGGATAGAGTAAATTTATTTTCTTACATGCAGCTGTAACTACAACACTTACAGCCTTTTTTAAAAAGCATCCTTTCAACATAACCCTGTTGGCATTGATGTTACTTTACTTTTACTTTGCTGTCTCTTTCCATAAATATATACAGGGAGATGAACTTTGTTTAATCCATGGAATGAGCAAGGTTGAATCTGAGCCTGAAATATCATTATTCTCCCTTGAGTGAGTCTTAAAACATACAACAGTTAAGGTGAATAGTTTTGTTCTTAATTGTGATAGTGTCTGCACATAGGTAAGAGGAAAAGCAAGTCAAAGTTCACAGCAATTTAAAACTCTTTGTGTATGAAAGAACAAATTCTTTGATTCAGACAGATTTGATCAGAAAACCACCCAGATATATGGAGATTGTGTGGGTGTAAGCAAGTAACGTTTGGGCCTATGTGCTTTGAAGATGGTTCTTTTATTAAAATCTTTAGAGGAGGATATATAAAGTAGATATATAAGGTACAGATTGGGAATTAAAGGAAAGACCTGGGTTTCAGTTTGGTTTTTGGTTTATGTTTTGTTTTGCTTTTTTTGTTTGTTTGTTTGTTTTTTAAAAAAATCAATCAGTGCCACCACATATGCTAATTCAGTAAGGGTTTTTCATGGACATCTGCCCTTCATTAGAACAGTTTGAGAAGTCATGACAGCTGTAACAGTGGGCTTGTAATTCCTCATCTGTTGGCATATTGTTGTACTATTTAAAATGAAGGAAGAAATTAAAATAGCTAACTAGTATCAGAAGTGTGCAAATAAAGTGTTAACTTGACTTCTGAAATATACTGAGATTTCTTGCTTCTTGTGTTCTCTGACAGCTTTGTTGCTTCATATTGCCTGAATGAAATTTGTCAGGAAAAAGCTTCCTTATGTCCTCTACCAGTGTGCTTACCGCCCTAGAAGTGTACCGTTTCAGTAAATATAAACAGTCCTGTGTTAGTGCTTTTTGGTTCTGTGACTGTTTCCATCGAGCATGCCAAGATGTAGATTTTGTAATGTGGAAACCCACAGTAAAGACTTGGAATGAGCCCACAGATTTGTTTCATATGGGATAACAGAGAGTGTTAATACAGTAATAACTCTCAGTTTTTAACAAACTATGCTATATTTGAACCGGTGGCATAGTGATGAGATAGCTAGTGCTATTGCTGAGTGGTTGAAAAATATAATTCACAGTGAATGGTATTACACTTGCTGGATTATGTTTCCCACTTCGATAACTTCTGCTTTTCTCATATATATATATATATAGGTGGGCTTGTATATGTATATATATATATATAGGTGGACTTGTGTATATATATATATATATATAGGTGGGCTTATATATATATATATATATATATATATAAAAAAGGTGGGCTTTTTTTGGAGGTGGTAGTTGTTGTTGTTTGGAGTTTGTGTTTTTCTGGCATAGGGTTTTAAATGACCAGCTCCTGAATTATTGTCAATATGCTTCTGGCAAAACTCTTCAGTGCTAAGATTACTGAAGTACTGTAACACAAGTGTTACATATTAAGACAAAGACATTATGTGTTCTTTCCTTAAGGCATGTAAGAAATACTGCTGGGCAGTTTCTTCGCAAAAAGCTAACTTCTGTTGTTTGTTTTTGTTCAGTGCAGCATCTGCCATGTCTACAGAGGGGCAGAGAGTGGATGATAGTCCAAGCACTAGTGGAGGCAGCTCTGATGGAGATCAGCGTGAAGGTGTTCAGCAGGAACAAGAAAGGGAGCAAGTTCAGCCCAAGAAAAAAGAGGGCAAAATATCAAGCAAAACAGCTGCTAAACTGTCAACTAGTGCTAAAAGGTACAGTGTTCTTTTTGGGTTTTATTTTAATTTCTCTTTTTTTAGCTGAGCATCAGATGTATGTATTGACTCAGTATATTAATTTTCTGATGGTTTTATTATAACACTGCTGTATTAGTGTAATATTCTCTTGAGGCTGGTCACAATAATGAGACCTGTATACTTTTTCCTTTCTTTGACAGATTGACTCTTTCACATGGTTTTAATAGTTGCTTGCATGATAAAAGCTGACAATTTTTTATTGCTAGTAAAACTCAGACAGTTTTGTAGCCTTATAAAATATATCTCTGTATGTGTATGTATGACTGATGTTGAAACTTGTCAGTGTAACTTACAGTTAATTAACCATAAACATATCAGACAGTTCAGTAACTCAGCATGTTAGGACTACTGTAATACCTATTGTTGTGAAGTACTGCGTTTTCTTTTCCCAGATGGTCAGGTCAGAAATATCTGAGTGAACAACAAATGCATGTTGGTTTCATTACTAAACTCTGATCTGTTTCATTACCCATTTATTTTCCTTCCCTTTTCTGCTTGAGAGGAAAGGTTGGTTTGTAGAATAGCTATTTAAATTATTCTATGCTATCATGTCCATCTTCAGATAACGGTTGTCTTGCTTGGACCAGACAGAAGGAATTTACAGCTTAGTGTAGCTTCCTTAGTACACACAGGGTTGTTAGTCTAGGCAAATGGGATTATAGTGATTGAAGTAAAAAAGCACTCATAAAATAATCTGACAAGAGACCAATTCTGCAGACTGTCCTGATGCAGAATTCCCAGATCTTGTTTCTTTGCTAATCCAAGGCTGTATAAACTACAAGAAAAAACATTGGAATTATACCACTGTGGTGCTGTGGTAAAGGAGAAGCATTGAGCCCCTATTGCCATAATTTATAACATATGCATGTAGTCACAGTCCATAAACACCAGTATATAAACGTGTGTACATCCCTTCAGGATTCAAGTCTTTGTCTTGCCTTAATATGTCCCTTTTCTATTACATACTTCTCTGGACTGAAGTATCTTCTGTCTTTCCAGTGGAGTATTGTCATGCTTTTTTTCTGCCATAGATAACCTTCCTTACAGCTAGCTTTTTTTCGTTTTTTCTTCTCTGTAGAAATGCTTTCTTGACTCCCATTCCTACTAAGACACTATTAGGAATCATATCACTGATCATACCACTTACAGAAGGGCCAGCAAAAGTTGCCCATGTTTCCTTTTGTGACTAAAAGGAAAAAAACCCAAAACACCCACTCAGCTTTCACTGCAAACCATGGTGTTACTCACGTAGTTAATCCTCACAGCCCGTATGGTTTCTGACCTTGTTCTCTTTTGTCTGCTTCCTGGTATTATTATTTTTTAAATATTAGAATTATTGGATTAGTGATGACTTTTAAGGTCATAAAAGATAGTTTTCAGTGTCTTTAGAAAGCAGTCTGTGTATTCTGAACTTTGTACAATGTCTGGTGTAACGATGCCGATGCCGCGATTCTGACATGAGCTTGTGGACGCTATCCTATTAAAAAATTAATAATGATATGTCAGAAATTGGTCTATTAATCTTAGCTTTGTGTCTTCAAAGCTTAGAGCTTTTATCAACATGCATTTTACAGTGATAAAATTACTTAAACCTTTTAAAGTTTAATCACATCTGCTTATGGTTCTGCTGAAACTAATTATGCCAGTTGCTGACATCAGTGTGTTTGCTAGTTAGACTCTAAAGCCAGTTTCATGTGCATTCTAATACTAATATATTTTAAAAATATACATTTAAGTATACATGTGAAAAGCTGACAGACCTACAATAGTTCTTTAGGTATGTACACAATAAATAATATTTTGAAAAAAATATATTTTATGAGTGCTGGTTGTCATAGCACTTTCTGGAAGGATCACAACAACATAGTTTTTCTAGTAACAGGGTTTTTTAACAGTATAATCTTTTTTTCTTTTTTGTTTATAAGTATTCAGTAGTTTGTGTTAGATTTGGGATTGTACTTTCTTCATTCAGCCAGCTTTTGTATTACAGGTTTTGTTTCTTTGCTTTTTAATTAAAATCAGTGTCTCAAGAAAGGTAAATCAGGATTTAAAGCAGAGGATAGAAAGGAGTGGAGTATCATGGAGGAAGGAAAAATTTCTTAGAGTCCTCAATATGTGATAAGTATTACAGAAACTGTCTGTATAAAATATCTTCACAGTAGTATTGTTAATTTTGTTCGTTAGAAGTGAAAAGTAGTGTAGGATTAAAAAGGCTGTACTCTGTTACCTTCAGTTAGAGGAGTCAACTCTGCTAAAATCAGTAAAACACTCAAACAACAGAGTGTAGTCAATTGTGGCTTTGGTCAAGATTGCTTAATTCCTGTTTAAAGCATAGAACACCAGTGAGTTAATGTAGCACTGGATCTAAAGTCACAGACTACAGACTTGATTCTAACCTGAGTTTGGAAATCACGTTTTCTTACTTGGTAAGCTTTTTCATGCATATGGAACTGTAGTCACAGTGGTTTTGGATTGCCTTATGATACCTATTGTATATATTGGTTTAGAATGAAAATTTGTGCATCTCTGTTTGGAAAAATTTTGTTCTGCTTTTTATTTGTATTTTTATGTAGTCAGATTTACAGAATTTTCAGTAGCATTAGGTTTTATAGAAATCAAGATCTAGCAGTGTGCTGACTTTTGCTTGTGTAATCGTAAATTGCTACCATGTCTTATGTATGAATATGCTGTTCATGCAGCATAACTGCTTTCCAAAGTGATCTGTTTACAGAGGCTATATGAAACCACTCAAATTTTTATTTGAGTAAGATTTTTGGTTTTAAGATAGGGAGTTTCTTCTGTTAGCATTGCTATAACTGGCATCAGGAGTGCAGAATGCCATCACATGCTGTGCTTCTCTGTTAATACTTTTAGGAGTAGCTGATATACAGGTGTAATAGCTTACAGCGTATGTCATGCAGTGTACTGGTCCTTCAATTTTCCTCACCCAGAGGGCATCACCTTAAATAGCAACCTTTCTTACCTAACATGTCAAGATTGAGAAACTCGTTGCATATCACAATTACAGTTTAGACACGGAATTGAATTGCTGTCCTTGAAAACAGCAGGCATCTTGTTACCTCTTAAGTAGCAAATCTTAGCATGACCTTTGGATTGAGAGAAGTGTAACCATTCTTGGCTGACGTAGCTCAACAAATAAATGTATTGTTTTGCTTGGCTCCTGAAGTTGCTGGTTGAAAATCTGTCAACCTTTGTGTCCAATCCTGACATTTTTTAATAAATATCTGTGCCTACAATAAATTGTGAACTGTAAAACTTTAGTTGTAATCTTTTCCTTATTGAGAGAAGTTACAACCTTAAGGAGTAGCAAATCAGTAATAGATTGAATTAACAAAGTAAAAATGAGCCTTTTTTCCCCTTCCCTTCCCCCCCTTTTTTTTTTCTCTGAGGGGTTTATCACAGCACTATTTTCAAGGAATCTAGGAATGGTATTTAGAATGTTGAATATGGCAGCAAAATACAGACTGCTTTTTCTTACAAGAAATATCCTTGTCATTTATCCATCTTTTAGTATGTGGGTGAGAATATTTCTTTTCCTCCAGTACGAAGCTAACCATCTTTAGATCAATTTCCTGCTCAGTCAGAGTTTATTTTGTAGTGAAATATGTACCAGTGTCTGCTTTTCTAAGTATTTTCTAAGTAGCATATTCTTTGGTATAAGGTATTGAATCAGCTGGCTTTTATGGGTAAATAGGCATGTATTTTAGAAAAGTAGATGTGGTAAAAATAGCTTATTGTCGTATAATCCTTTATTTCTTTTCCAGTTAATCACATTGGGAAATCCTCTGATGTTCACTTCTCTTAGCTGTAGAGAACTTTTAACTGTTTCATGAAGGAAACAACCGCAGTCCCCTTAGTCTTGGAACAGTAGTAAATATGTGTCTGTGAGAATTAATAATATTTGAAATCCAAAATGTACTTTCATGCTTCTGAATTTATGGGTAGATTAACGGTTGCACTTGTACTGGAGGGCAACTATGTTTGTTCTCTTCTGATAGTAAAATGGAGGGGAAAAATATTTTTTTTATGTGTGTGTATGTATAGATGTATGTATATATGAGAGAGAGAAGTCAAAGGACTTCTCTAAGACCAAACAAAGAATATCAGATCTGACACTGCAAGTTAAATGTCCTATGTGTGCAGCCCAGGGCATTGAATATTAGCCAAGGCTTCACCCCCTGCCATGACCCTACTTCCCAATACTTCCCTAAGCCATTATTTTAGCCATATTAGTTTAAATATAAACTGAATAGATATAATTATTTTAATTTGGAGTTCTTTTTCACTCTGACATAGTTAAACATAACTGTTATTGAGGCAACAAATCCAAAGACCAGAAAGGACTCTGAAAAAAATGTTTTGTTGCCAGAGGCCACATATCCTCACAGCAAATTCTCTGTGGTCAGTGAAGGAAATGAGGTACATCCTCTCCTATGGCAGATTCTGAGGGCAACTCAATGGAGATATGAAGCAAGTGCCAGAGCATGTGCAGACAAAGGCCAGCTTGCACACTGGAGATCTCTATCAGTGCAAGGCTCTCTGGGATGCTGTCTGACAATTTAATTGTAACTTTGAATACTGTGACATGTGAACAAGATATTGCATGTCAGCTGCTCTACAGAAACTGTTTATGAATAAGCTCTCAGCATGAATGCAAGGTAAATTAAGGTTGCAACAAAGGGTTGTAAGGTGTATAAATTAGTTTGGGGCACCACAGAGTAGGAGAATAAACATGGACAACTTGCTGAGGAGCAAAAGATGGACAGTATTGTATTAATGTGTTGTATCTTGTTTGTATAAAAATAATGATGAATGAAACGTCTCTTTATCTTAGATGCTTGCAAGAGCAGTTAGGACTTTTGAACATTAATATGCAGTGCCATCTGATCAATTTTTATGGCTGGAAGCAGAAAGGTGTTTTGTCCTTGTTTGCTCAATCACAGAAAAGCTTGATAAGGGGCCATTTTAGCGCTTGTGAAATTAGAAGTTAGAAATTTTGGGTTGAACTACAACAGATGGAAAAAATGAGAGACTGTTTCGTTTTCAGAATATGAAGAACATGGGTTAGGATTTAGGAAGAAGAATATAAAATTTTTGATCTAGGACTGAGGTTGTTGAAGTTGTCAATCCATTCTTGACGTGTCTCAGACTCCCTGTAATGCAATGAAATATTAACTGCTCTTACTACTATATGTAAAGGAATGATCTCTGACTATAAAAGTGCAATACCATCATTCTGTAACTTCACAAAAGGCTGAAAAAACAGAACAACCCATAAAATGTGAAATTGAAGAATCTATGTTACCTAGATTTTCTGTGGTTTGAATTTGTGATAGTGTAATTTCAAAATCATGGCAGAAGTTTGTCATATACAGAAGAAATATTTTAAGCCTCTCCCACAGTTATAAGATCTCCCTTCTAAAAGGTGTGAATTGTTAGGATTGTTCAAATGGAGTAAGTTTTTTAAAACAACATGTTTGTTGTGCTTAAACTTCACTAATTAAAAAATGTGGTGTATTTTCAGTGTTACTACAATGATTTGGTGCTTGATTAAGCAATCTGTGCCTGTATTTTTATAGAAAAGGTATGATATTTATTGGGGAAATTCTATGTACTGGAGATATAAATATTTCAATGAGTAGAAAAAGCAAGTAAAAGATCAAATTGCTCCCCCTCAACTGAAGTAACTGTGTGTGTGTGTGTGTAGGGTTGGGGTGCATAAAAGTTAGAAGAAAATCTAAGCATCTGGAAGAGTGTTTTTATCTTTGCGATTATATAATCTGATCTAATAAGTGATTATTACCTCTGCCTACAGATCTTGCCCACGTATGTCCTAATTATTTTAGAATGTGAGAGAGAAAGGCTGGAGTTTCTGGTTCAGGCCAATTCTTCTACTGCCATTGGTTCATTTATTCACTGTAGCTGTAAAATCAACTTATAGTAGCATAAGGGGAATTTTGATAGTGGCTGTGAGACTCCTTAACATGTAAGATTGTGTTTGGATCTTAAAGTTATATAGAGAATTAAACTGCTCATTTTTATGTTATATATGCCAATATACCTGAATGCTTATTTTGATAAGCCGTTTTCTTTGCCTGTATTTATATTCAAAATGGGTAGCAATCATTTTTAACAAGGTATATGTAAGTCAGGCCTGAACTTTTGGCTTATGGCTTCAGCATGTATTTCAGGAATTTGTGTGGTGTTATTGTGCAGGTTTTCTTTCTTAGCATAGGGAATAACAGGAATAACAATTTGCTGCTGTACATGAAATCTTGTGAAGGAGAAGGCAGGAAGAAAATACTCAGGGTATCTTGAATTGTTTTACTTTTTCTTCCTGCTTCTAAATGTTCATGTTTTTGCATTGAAGTAGCCTATAAAAAAAGCCTTGGGCATAGTTTTATAGGTAAGGTCACCATTACAGTCTTGCTTATGGCATCATACTTTGGGAACTGAAAACTCCTACAAGTTCCTTTGGGAACTCTGTAGACTCCTACTCTGTGTAATTAAATTTCTTCAAAGGTCAAGATACTGGCTGTCATGCAGATGCTGGTGTAAGGGAAAAGAGCCCCTGTTGCCAGCTGTGGCAGAGATCAGGCATTCATGGACTTGGCTTGGAAGCATCAGCCTGGGAATATCCAGAAATCCTTAACAACGAAGTTGCTCTCCCTGCAGGAAGAACTTTGGCAGGATGCCTGTAATGTCTTTATTGGTGACCTGGAGGATGTGGCAGAGTTCACTCTAAAGTTTTCAGACTACAGCAAGCTGGGGGGGAGCACTTGGTACATGCAGGAGCAATGCTGTGGATCTCGCCAGGCTGCAGGAGAGGGTTGACAGAGAACTCATGAAATGAGGTCCCACCCCTTGTAATGATACATACTGGGGACCATCTCTGCTGAGAAGGAGATGGGGACCCTGGCAGAAAACAAGCTCAGTGTGAGGCAGCAACAAAAGCTGACTGCCTCCTGGGATGTATTAACAGGGGCATAGTCCATAGGCAGATGGAAGAGATTTATCTCCCGTTACTCAGCTCTCATTAGACCGTACCTGGGATAACAGTTACCTGATTTTGATCCCCCAGTGAAAAGAAGGCACATACCAGAGCAAGTCCAGCAGTACAACCCCAAGCTAGCCAGGGAGCTGGAGCACCTCACTTTGGGGGAGCCTGATAGCAGACCCGCAGTACCTAGGAGGAGGTTATGAAGAAGACCAGCATGGGCTCATTCTGGGAGGGTGAGAGACAATTATTCTTGGAAGTTGGGAGGTTTTACCCTGCTAGTACGATATACATTAAGAAGATAAATATTCTAGAGTGCAAGAGCTTATAAGACATACAGGCAGAGGAGAAATAGAGAAGGAGGATACATGAGACATTTAGTAATTGTGTAAGTGAGCAAAGGACCTGAGAACCCTGACCTATAGAAAAAGTGTGATTTTCTAGGTGGCTGCTCATGGCATTTGTCCCATATTGGAAACTCATTTTTCAGAAAAGATTTAACGTTTGCTTCCACATGTTCTTGTGCAGTTTCATGAAACCTTTTAGCATCAGCTTTTCATCAGAAATTTTAAGAATTATATTTTGTTTCTATTGATTGCTGTAGAAATGTTCATAAAGTTGAAAGAAACAGATTGCAAAAAAAGTCCTGATAATATTTTTTTTTTCTCTTAAGAATTCAGAAGGAACTTGCAGAAATTACATTAGACCCTCCTCCAAACTGTAGGTAAGTTCACCTGGATTTTACTAATTTGGAATATGGAAATGAAATATATGGAATTATGGAAACTTCATAGGGGACTGGAGTAAATTTTAACTATTCCTTTGTGCTGATTACTTAGTAATTTTGGAATAAAAGCTGATAGATAATATGTTGCCTACATGTAAGGACATGTAGGCAACATATGACATACTTCCCAGTAACCTAAGTAATGGTAAAAATGGGTGAACTCTGTGATGCATGGATGTATACAGGGCAAAAATCAAATGACCCTTCATTTGAGGCATTAAATTGATAGCATTTTGTTTGATTCTGTAAAATGTAATCTTGGTGGAGGTTACTTGGTATGTTTGATTCCTTTTTCTTGCAATTTGTTTAAACACTGTGAATATAAAGGAGAAAAGAATATGTTATAGGCACAAACTATGATTAATTTTCTGACTGTGTTTGTGGTGATCAATTATGATGTTGGGTGGAAACTTCCTGAAATAGAGTATCTAATCATATAGACTTTGTAATAATGTCGATGTGTTTGTTTGATTTGGTTTTGGTGGGTTTTTCTTGGTCAGGTACATTTACTTTTGGTGTGTTTAAAATTGGCTTTGCAGTGAATGATGAGGTAGACCTAGAAACCCTCGCTGTCTGGTGGCAGGGGCTGTATGCAGTTGTTTTCAGATGACTGTCTCGGGCTTCTTATCTGTCAGCTTGACATACGGTCAGTGTTGGAGCTGGGCCAGGGCTGCACAGTGCTGCTTAAAGGAGCCCCTGCCCCTGCACTTCTTGTGATGGGAGGTTGGGCTTGGTGGAGAAAAATAGCTTCCACCCAGTCCCGCCAACCCATTTCAACTGATGTGGTTAGTAGGTTTCGTTCTATTAGTGCAGGAAAAAGAAATAGCTGATTGCATGCAGCTTTTGTAATGAATCCCAGTACGTTTCAGTATCGAATTAACTAAGCAACTGGTAGTAAAAATGACAGTCAACTTTATTGTTTTGGTCTCGTGACAAAAGTATGTGTGAGAAAATAGTCTAACAAGATTTGACGTGGTTGTGCTGGATCTCAAGATATATATAAGTTAAGTGGCTACATACTGAAGCTCTACGTAGTGAAGTAGCCTTGCAGTAATAGTGTTCAAGGAGTATTTCAGTCAATTAGGATCAACAGTTTTTTGCTAGATAAAACATTTTAATAGCTAAGCTGTTCTGTCATACTTATGACTGTGTGTGAGTCTTCAATCACATCAAAGCAGTTTCATATGGCAGATTTTACTTCAGTGTTGATGACTGATGCCTATTAGTGGACTGATTGCTGAGATGAATATAAAACTTCAGTCTGTTGTAGAAGAATGCATGTCTTTGAACTGAGTGTAAAAGGCTTGCAGTTTTTACAGTAGTGTCATTTTTTTCTAGTTTTCTGAAGCCTTCTCTTTATAACAAAGCAGTTGTTTCAGTATACAAGATAGTGTTATATTTGATTTTCTTTTGCTAGCAAGTGTAAAGTGAGCATTGGCTGTCTTAGTGGAAAGCCCTTTGGTGACTTGCAATTTAAAAAAAACCAAGCGAGCTGGAGATTTCCTGGGTTTGTTGAATTATTTACACTAATGATAAAATAGCAATAAAGTGCACTGCGTGATGCTGTTTTGCAAAATCACAAAATTACATCTAACTTCATGTGTCTGCTGCTTTAACACAGTTCTGAAGATGCAGAATTACTTCATGTTGTGATCTTGATAGATAACCATTAGTAACTTTACTATTATCAAATATGTTTTTATAGTCAATACAGAATCACTTCATTTAGTTTTATGCTCTGTTGACATAGTCTAAACAGTGTTTTCATTTAAACTTCATCTATTTTCTATTATAGTTAAACATTACAAAATAAATACATCAGCCAGACATGATTCTTCAGATAATAATGAAGAAAGCTGAGCTATTGTACAGTATATCTTACCCTAAAGTATTGATACGTTCTTTCTTGGGTTTAGTGAAATTTAGATCATTGTTATAAGACGTTATATTTTCTGTTAAAAAAACCCAGCCATATTTTATAAATATAAATTCCTTACAGATGTAGGCCACTTGAAATGGTTGTGATTCCAGCTTGCCTTCACTATGTGTACTGTTTTATATATAAAATAAACTAAGATTGGGCAATAGGAATGTGATAAATCCCCAAACTAAATGTCATAGAAGGCATGAAGAAAGCTTTATTATTCAAGAATACTATCTTAAGTAGTTACTTAGGAAGTTCTGATGGGCAGGATATGGAGCTGTATTGGAACTTGGGTGGAACATTGCAAGTAGGTTTGCAAGACTTTCCGTTAAATACAGCAGGCCAAAGCTTCAGATTTTTCCCATTCAGGAAAAAAAACCCAAATGGAACAGTGTCTGTAGTACATCATCCTCAGCATCCCTCAATGGCATGTTGGCTACACAGTCGGTACAAGCTCCAAAGCAGTTGCAGCTTCCACTGCTGCAGCAGCTGCAATCTTAACATTTCCCCTGCCTCATCCTCATGAAGAGAATAGGCTGTATAATCTTTGTCTGGAAGACAAAAAAAGTCTTGCTCACAAATGTGCCTTGTAATTGGCAGATTATCACTGCTGCGACTTGCAGCATCTTTCCAAAAATGTGGAAAGCTGTGGGTTTTAGAGTTCATAAAAAAAAATCTGTCACTTTTGGCTTTAAAAGAAGATTTGGTGTTATAAGAAACTAAGAGTTGCCTGCCTCCCTAGGTATTCATATTCTGTAGTTTGGGTACTGGGTGATGGAAAGAGTCCTCTGGACTCCACAAACTTTGGCTTCTTCCTCAGGACTGAGAATGTATAATGTTTGAAGCATAAAAAAACCAAGCTGAGGAGGGGAGTGTGGGAGTTGAGCAATGTAATCATTGCTATTTTTGGAGGAAGGCATGTAATAAAAAAGCTTGTTATGCTTCACATTTAACAGAAAGAACTGGATAGTTTTCAGTATATGTTGTCCCATCCTTCCCCCCATTTTACTTTTTGTTGAGCTGAATTTGCTGTCAAGGAGAGTCCTGAATGCGAAGGAGGTACATTTGTGTTTTAAATTTGCAGTATTGTGAAATTTCAGTTTGTCAGGAGACAATAGGCCTAAATTGTAGACATTGGCCACTCTTTCTTTTTCCATCTCATTGAAATGCCAAAGCTTTATTACAAGAAATGTTGCACATACTATACCTCTGAGTAGTGCAGAGTATACCTTTTCTCTCAGGCGATGAAAACTTAATGTTTAAGTGTCATTTTCATATATGGCCTTGCAAAAAGCAGGGAATAGTTGGGAAATCTTGTAGCTAAAATAATGCCTTTTCAAACTTTCCCATATTTTGGACTGCCTCTTGTCCAAGACAATAGATGTCATAGAATACAACTTCTATTGTCAGCATTGTATACTATTTCCCTTCTCACTGGCAAGAGAACAACATCTCTGTGGCAACTTATACCAATTGCTTACGTGGGAAAATAATATTTGGAAAGTATTTAATGTATTTTTAGCTTCTTTCAATGTGAACTTAACAGCTGGAAACAAGGAGAGCCAGCACAAAGTGAATAGCAACTCTCAGTGGACACCACTTGGAGCAACTGCTCAAAATTTTTCCTGTTAAGTCACTGATATTACCTGTCTTCCCCTTCATGTTTCCTTTTGATGTTCTTTAGTGTATTTTTCACCATTCTTCTATTTTCTGTGTATTTACTGCAATTTCCATTATGTTTTATATGTTTTATTTCTTTTTCCCTGTAGCAATATAGGTAGTGCTTGAGGCTCAGATGTATACTGTAAAGGACTGTGCAACTTAGTTGGCAAATTGACTGGTTCTCATTCCAAAACCATCAGTTTAAAACCCTGCGTGTAGTCTTATCTCTTCTATTAGTTTGAAATCATTACGTTAATTCCTTGCTTTTTAAACTATCTGCAAAATTGATAAGAACCCAAAATTGATCCTAGTATTTTTCTTGTGAAAACTAATCACACTGAAAATACTTAAAACACGCTTCTTTTTGGGGTGATGTAGTGAAGTGGAGTGGCAAAATATTCTATTTGGCTTAGGGAGAGTTCATTGTGCCTCGTGCATGTCTCTTGCTATTAATGACTGTATGGAGCCCAGCATTCCTGTTTAATATTGCTCTGACTGTTTTTGCTGAAATGCTGAGGCTGGATCTTCACAACTCAGAGACTACGTGAATTCTATCAATTCCAGTTATTGTTCTCAGAGCCACCTGTTTAAACTCCTACCTAGTGCTACTTAAAAGCTAAAGAGATGTCACAAGTATCAGGAGCAGAAAACGAATGTTAGCACAATATCCTGGGAAGACTGGGAGGCAGAAGGTAGTGAGCCTTGCTCTACAATGCAGAGAGAGAGAAGTTTAGGGCCCTAGAGAAGCAGGTACAGCAAGTATTTGCTGTGCAATTATGCTCAGTTATTTTGATTGTTTGAATTAGGGGATGCATCAGTCTGTTGCCACAGACACGTGACTGCGATGCATGTGATGCTAATGTGTGAGCAGGATGAAAACTGGAGTAACAAATGCTTTCTTTGAATGTTTTTTCTTACAAACATTTCCAGCCTGAATCCAGGCTGCATTTCCATTCTGTTATCCATGGAGTTTACCTTCTGCCTGTATAAACTTACTTTTATAGGCTGCTGGTTCTCTATAACCTTCTAGAGAAAATGTAACACATTGTATATAATTTTGCCTACCCTCTTTAGAATTTACGGGAAATAACAAAATGTAATCAAAAAGATAAGCATACAAGTGGTTGATATTAATGTGCAGGATACTGTTGGTTTTAAATCCACGAGGTATTAACAATCGAGGATAGGGATGAATGAAAAATCTATTTGAGTGCTCACTGTAACTGCTTTGTTTTTAAATTTTGAGTCCCTCTGTGCTTCAAAAGAATCAAGAAACATGTCCCAAAAACATACAAGTTAACGATCGCACTGGGATTATATTTTATCACTTGAGTTAGCTTGCCTGTTTTTT